CCAGCCCATGTGCCCAGGGCAATGGAAAGGCAAAGAGGGAAGGAACCCACTCGAAATACTCGCCAACATTTCTTTGCCTCCAGTCACTTCCACCCGTTGCTGTTGTCTTTAAACATGAATGAGAACAGGGAGATCAAAACACAGAGCCCAGCTGGTGTGGCTCTGTGGCTGAGCATCCACCTATGAACCAGGTCACGGTTTGATTCCCCGTCAGGGCACATGCCCAGGTTGCAGACTCGATCCCCAGTGGGGGGCGTGCAAGAGGCAGCCAATCGATGATTCTCTCATCATTGATGTTTCTCTCTCTCTCTCTCCCTTCCTCTCTGAAATCAAGAAAAAAAATATTTTTAAAATAAAACACAATGCACAGGTTAGCAGTTGCTCAGGGCTGGGGATAGGGGAATAGGGCATTGGGGTTCCTTTGGGGGTGATGAAAATGTCCTAAAATTGACTGTGGTGACGGCTGTATCTTTGAATATACCAAAACTGTACACTTTAAATGGGTGACTTGTGTGGTGTGCATACCCTATCTCAATAAAGCTGTTTAAAACAAGTGCCAGGAGCTCAGAGAGGGAATGGGGAGCGATGCTAATAGGTAGAGGGCTTTGATTTGGGATGAGAATGTCTGGAACTAGAACGGTGATGGTTGCACAATGTTGTGAAATGTACTAAAAATTGCCAAATTGTAAGCTTTTAAAGGGTGAATTGTATGGAATGTGAAATTATATCTCAATTTTCAAAACAGGTTTTGCAGATCTGTACTGACAGATTAAGACATCCCTGACATTTAGTGAGAAAACAAATGAGCCCTCAGCCCTTCTCTGGAGGCAGCCTACCTGGGAGCCCCGCTGGTTGTGGGACGGGAGCCTGTGCCCAGTGTGGAGCCTGGGGGTCTGAAGAGAGGCAAAAAGACAGACACTTGCCTCAGACCTGGTCCTTCCCTATACCTTTGCTTCTCATCAGTAGATGAGTCTGCTGCTCTGGTTTTCCTAAGTCTACTTCTACTTTCAAATGAGATCTTTTGGAAAAATCCTCTCAAAAAATTATTCGTTAGGTCAGGGAATTAACTTCCCTCAAGTCCTCAGTTTCCTGCCTGGATAGAAATGTCAAGCAGGGACTGTTTTCACAAAGAAAACACGGGGCAGCCAGATGTCCTACTCCATAACCCCCAGTCTCCGCAGACTCTGGGAGTGAAGTTCGGACAGATCATCAAGATGGAGGGTTGGGTGGATGAGCCCCCAAGGGATGGCCCATAGGGTCACTCCCTCTCCTGCAATGCAATTCTTCAAAGGAGACACTTACTCACTACCACTCTTTGGAGGAAGACAAGAATTCAAGGCCTGCGTGCCCCTAGGGCAGTGATGGCGAACCTTTTGAGCTCGGCGTCAGCATTTTGAAAAACCCTAACTTAACTCTGGTGCCGTGTCATATATAGAAATTTTTTGATATCTGCAACCATAGTAAAACAAAGACTTATATTTTTGATATTTATTTTATATATTTAAATGCCATTTAACGAAGAAAAATCAACCAAAAAAGAGTTCGCGTGTCATAGGTTCGCCATCACTGCCCTAGGGGCAGGGCTAGAACTCAGGGCCAGGTCTAATCTGACTCCTCAGCCCCCCACTGCATTAAGACAATCAGGAAAGTCTACCCATGCTCCTCCCCAGTAGCTTGGTTCAGAAGGGGTCTCCAGAGGGTGGTGAGGGGGCCAGGAACTCACATTCCAGGAAAATACCATGGTTCCCCATCACATCCTCCCTAGATCTCCCACCACTGGAGAAAGGGGGACAACTGTCGGGTCACTCAGGCCAGAGACCTGCAATGAAGCTGGACTCCGTGCCCCCTCCTCTCCCATCTCAGGCCCTCACCTCTTCAGTGCAGCCATGGGAAACCTGAAGTTGCATCTGTCCAGCCCGTTTTGGAGCTTTCCTCCACCCCCAGACCCCTATGTTCGGGCCGGGGCCTCACTCAGCTGAAACTCTGACATGCTCCCAGGCAGGAGGGGATGAGGATGCTCTAGCCATGCTGGCCTTGGTTCAGCTCCTGAGCTGCAGACTGCTCTCTGCTACCACAGGCCTCTGCACAGGCTCCTGGTGTTCCCACTGCCTGGACTGCTCTTCCTCCCAGCTTCACTGTTAGGGCTCAGCTAGACATCACCTCCTCAGATAGGCCCTCCAACCTGCCCCAGCCTCTGCCAGGCACCCCTACCACCAGCCCTCACAGATCCTGCACTTCTCAGCATGTCACCACCTAAAACCCAGGAGTAACAGGGTGAGGGCTGGTGCCTCAGCTGTCACCTGGAAGGGGAGGGCTGGGGTCTTACTCCCAGCTGAATGGCCAGGACCCAGCAATGCCAGACACCTAGCAGATGCTGCCGAGATGTTAAATTAACAAAGGACTAGAAACAGAGACACCTGCCTCGGTCCTTGGATCTAAAAGCAAGCAAGCACACAAGCATGCTTGGAATTAAATGAGGCACATGGTCCTACGCTGAAGCCTCCCCACTGACCCAGGACAGAACTAAAAGGATTTAGGTTTTCTAAAGAGCCTGTGAGGGAGTGATCTCACCGTAAATGACAGCAGAGGAGAATGCACATGTGTCCCTAAGAAACACTTTTGCAGCGTCACTATGTCAATGAGTAAGTTAACGGTTCCAGCCAATTCTGTATACTACGTTTGGAAGCCCACAGCTTCGCTCCCATCGCTGCCCTGCACTTTTGGGAAACCGGAAACCAGAGTCTGAGCTTGTCCTGGACCAGTCACTATCCTTGCCCTGCTCACTTCCCTCCTTCTTCCAAAAAGGGGCTAGCAAAAGCCTAGCTCTCCCCCTCCCCCCAAGTGCTGGAGGATGGAGCATTGGTTCTGCTTTTCCTTGGCCTCACCCAGCCAGTTTCTGGGCCCACAACCAGGCTGCATACCCCCCAGCACCAGCTGGCATTCAACAGGAGGCAGGTGTCCTGCCGGCTCTTTCATCAGGGACCTGAAGCAAAGGGGAGGGAACCGTCAAAGCTGGCTCAGAAACAAAAGCTCCTTCTAGCAGTCAGGGGGGAAAGAGGGAGAAGGCGCACAGCAGGTGGCCCACTGTCTGGGAAGGGGCTTCAAGCCTCCCACTAATTCTTTGTTCCACGGAGGGGGTTCGGCCCCATTTGGCCACTTCTCCCGGGCTAAGGGCAGCCCCTGCTTCCAATACTGGGGAGGGGGACTCTGAAAACCTCGGACCACCACCCACAGGCTGGGCTCTGTTTGTGCGGGGTTCATAAAGTCTCGTGTC